AAACGGAGATCTCCATTTCAAGATATGCTGTTTCCAACATTTTTTTAAACATTATTATTATTTTTTAGAAGAGGCATATCATTACAGCTTTAACATGCCCAATAACAGTTTCCAGAGCAAAGACACAGCTCCTTCAAAAGTAGCTATAAAATTTCTAGGTTCCCTGTTGAAATCAATACAGTTATACAATACTGAACTCAGTATAAGCCCTGTAAGACATAAAATTGAATGCATTTTTAACCCTCAAAAGCGATCTCCATTTCATTCTAAAATATACTGTTTCTTACAGAAATTCTCATTGTTTTTGCTACTGACACTAAGAAGTTGGTGCATGCATCTCTAATCTGTATATATCTGATTATTACTAGTCATAATTGGTTGCACTTGGATCCTTGGCGCCTGTGTATGTCATCGGGTAGATTTCAATGGTAATGTTTATCTCCTCTACTAATTAACATGACGTAAATTTCCAAGCTTCCTCCTCAAATATAATTCATTTTAAAAAATTTGTTGATTTTGTGTTATTGATTTGTGTGTGTGTATGTGTATCACACAGAACATCTCAAACCATCTTATTCAGCTATACACCCACTTCCCAGATGGCACTCTCCCATAGCCTCCCTCCCCCCACTAGAGCCCTTATACTCTGATATCCCTGCTACTATCTGCTGTGTTGTCAGCACCCCAGCCGTTCCCCACTACTTGCCCTTCTGGTGGATCTAGTTAGCCTATCCAGAGGTCTCTTTTATCTTTTATGCCTGTAAAACCAGCTTTACATCACAATACCGCCAAGTTCTGTGGCAGGTTTTACATACAGCATGCCCTTCTTGGACTACAGTCTCCTAGATGATTCTAGACATTGTCAACTTGACAATGATATTAACCATCAAAAAATGCATTATTGAAGGCTAAATAAGGTAAAGCCTCAATCCACCTTGTGTGTCTAATGATGTTCTTTGGAAGAAGTAATTTAAACAAGGATTAATATATATTTTAACATTTATTAGAACTTCCTAACTTTTTCATTTATAAGATCACCTTAGATGCTAAATTCAAATATCAATGCCTATTTGCTTAGGGGAAGCAAGAGTGTGTCTCCAAAGATCCAGCTGGCTTTCTGTAAAGGTGTGCATTATATTCCAGTAATATATAGAGTCCTGCAAATTTGGAAAACCATCTAGAAAGACACCAACCATGACAGTTAAGAATATGAAAGGAGGTATTTTGCATCATGGGAATAAGTATAACCCAAACGGATAAGTTCATTGAAAAATCCCAAGGTCGGGTTTGTTTCTTATAAGGCGGTTGCCTGGGAGGCCTCTCTGGCCAATGATACCACCAGAATATTGCTACTATTATTGAATGCACATCAGAATTAAATGGTAAAAGCCTAATGACGAATACGCTACATGTATGGGGAGGTGACTCAGTGGGTAAAGCGTCTGGTGAGGAAGAATGAGGACTTGAGTTTGGATCTCCAAAACTAAAGTAAAATCCAGGAATGCTAGCGCATATCTGAAACCAAAATGTGGGGATGGATACAGGATATACCAGGGGCTTGCTCACCAGACAACCTAGCTGAAAGAGAGCTCCAGGTTCAATGAGATACCATGTCTTAAAAAATCAAGGTGGAGATGTGATTGAAGAAATTTCCATGTCTATCTCTGCCCTCCAAACAACACACACATGAGAGAGAGTGAACCCATACTCATACATGGACACACACACACACACAGAGAGAGAGAGAGAGAGAGAGAGAGAGAGAAATAAATCACATGTTCTAGTTCTAGTTCCGTAATACAGAAAAGTCAGGCAGGGGCTAAGCTGGAAGATTCTATGACACTGCTTGGCTTTCATCATGCCAGATGGTACTGCACTGGATACTGGTGTGAAATGTTACCAGAATCCTGCCCAACAGCATGCTCATGCAATCACCACTCCAACCAAAATATATTCACTGGTGTAAGCATGGCACATCTGTTAGACTGCTACTATCTTCTGACTGAACTTAAGTGTCATTTGCTCTTCAGGAGGATCCAGTGTTCACAACTTTAAGTCTGGATAAACATCTGTGACTAGTGATGTCTTAGGCTTCAACACAGAGGTCTTTGCTGTTATTTTGTAAAATGAAATGATGCATCTAGAAATTGCCTTCAAAAACAAACATGTTTTTGTATCTGCATATTACTGTAAGTATTTGCTTTCTGTGTAAAAAATTCTTTGCAGTACTCTATAGTTAATGACAATGACTCTTAAAGGTTAAAATGCTCAGAGGTGGCTGTTGCAGTGATTGGTGGTCAAGGGTTCAGAAAACAATGACATGCATATAATGACCCCACCTGAACATGAAGGAACAGAAGAGGTGAGAGAGATATGTAAGACTCTGAAGAAAAAATGAAGTGTTAGGGTATAGCCATCAGTCCTCATGGGACAGAGATGACTGATGACTTAAACATAACTTGGACCTAGTCACAGCTGAGATATAAGGAAAACAATGACGATATAATTAGGCCCGTGGTCATAGTACTGAGGCTGTTAACGCACATGTCCCTCAAAGGGGAAGGGTCGAGAGACCCTGAACTTGGATTCCGGACATTGCTTTCCGCTGCGGCACAGTAGTTTGTGTCACTGAGGGTAGCGTGTGGACTATATTTGAGGGGGAGCGTTGACTTCTGTGAGGACATTTCCCTGAGTCAGTGATCGCGGTGTCTCGGGACTCCTCAGAGATGCATCTCTCTTTGAGTCAACCACATTTCCGTAAGTAACTCTTTCACTCATTTTGTAAGTAAGCTTAATTAATAGGTTGTTTTATCAAAGTGTATTTGGACAGTATATGATTTCTGGGTCGTCAGTGCCCTTCTGGGGGTGAATGTCTCATCCAGCGAAGCGGAATAGCATAAAGCTGGGAAGTTTCTGACCATTGCTCTAGAAAGCGACAGGAGAGCAGACTTAGAGCAGACGTTCAGAAGGAGAATGAACATAGTTAGCAATGTCTCGAGACATTTTTGCTGCTTTAATTGACCTGGGGTAGAAAGGGGGCGTATTACCCTCATCTAGTGTGTTGAAAGCACGGGTGTGTCTACACAACCTTGGGTGGTCTGCAGAGCTCCAGAACTGGAATGATCCATCTCAAAACGCAAAGTCGTCGAAACTGAGTCATTTGACAGGACACCCAGGAGTCTATGGATCGAAGCTGTAGCAGCTGCAGAAGGTTGAAAGTAACATGTTCTGGCTCCAAGGTCTCTCTTATGAGCTTCTTCCCTTAAAAGAAATAATCAGATTTTCAGTTCTGGATTTGTGTGGACATTGAAACTTTTATTCAATTGCTGATAGCTTCTCAGCTGGGGCCGGAGCTGCTTGCCTGCCTCCTCCATCCATGCTTGGTTTCGTCTGGCTTAGGCTTGCACAGGTTTTACACACATTGTCACAACATTGTGGGTTCATATGTGTAACTACCGCGTTGTATCCAGACAACATGGGTTCCTTGCATTCATCTTTTGCCTCTGGCTCTTACAATCTTTCTGCCCACTTTTTCACAATGACCCCTGAGCCTTGGGAGGAGAGGGTATGATATAGGTCCTAGCAATTAATAGTTGCTTGGAGAGAGAAAGTTAGTTTTCTTTACTGGTGTGACACACAGTTAAGTTACCAGTCTCCAAGGAATAGACCATACCCAAAAGTATTTGGAGAACACAGATTAGACTCTATAGGACTTTAAAAAAAAAAATAGAATACATAAATCGAGGGAGGTAGTAAGGTGAGAGTTAGAAATGGAGGAGGGGGTCTGAATGTGATCAAAATGTAGAAAATCCCGGAAGAATCAATAAAATATTTTTTTATAAAGAAAACTTCATCTGGGCTTGGAGGTGAGCACTTTTAATTCCAGCACTCAGGCAGATCTCTGTGAGACTGAGGCCATCCAGGTTTACACAGTGAGCTCCACTGAGCTGGGACAATAAGGAGATCCTGTCTCAAAACAAAACAAAAAAAAGAAAATTTCATTTTAGCAAAAATAACATTTCAGAAGAAAAGCAGGCTAGTTCTAAGAGCTTTATTTTCTTGATACTGCTAAGAAACACAAATTAGTAACAAAAATAATTTTTTATCAAGTGGAAAACCAAAACTGTTGTTGCTCTTCTTGAATTCACCCCAGAATATCAAAATCATTCAGATGATAAATGGAAGGAAAGTATATAGGTATATTAGAATTTATGTTATATATGTTAGTACATGAACCATAGAAAAGCAATTTGTCCATAATATGAATTATCTGGCAATATTATTTTCATGTTGTAGCTAAAGGGGAATAGACACTTAGTATATTACACAATTTAGGGGTATATTTAGTTATTTTAAGTTATTTAGCTTGGGAATTTTTCCATGCATAAATCTTTACCAATTTCCTAGTTCCATGTTAGATAGTTCCAATTGCATTTATCAAAGGTTCTGTGGATACTAGACTCCTGAAATTCTTGCAAAGTAGTGGCATTGAAGGTAAGGGATTATTTTAGTTTCTATGTGCCAGCTGGCACCTCCTCTTGAATGCATAAATTATCAATAGGTCACAGTTCTGCGTTCATCCATGTAATGAAAGGCAAATCGATGATGAAGCCAACACTGATGATTGTCACCAGCTTTAAAGTCTGCCTCGACAGTCTCTTAATAATGGACCATGGAAGGCTTTTTCTAACTTCTAGAAGCTGTATATTTCATCAGTATAGCTTGATGATAAATATGAAGACCAAGGATACTCACAAGGGTTATTGTAAACATTAAATTGAGGGGACAAATTGTAAAGCTTTTGGTGATGAAAAAGGAATGATATTACTGTGTTGACGTAGTAATTCAGACTAAGTCATCATTTTTATTACACAATGTGTTTATCCTCAGTATCAATAATCAAGCAATCATGTGTTTGTTGTTACTATGTATGAAGAAGAAAGAGAGAGGTGAACTGTGTCACCTTTCTCACATCAGTGTTCAAAATGCTAACATCAAACATCAAATTAAAAACGAAAAACTCGCGTGGGTCTCGCCACTGTAAATTAGCAGAAACTTCCAAGAAATTAAACTATTGATGGAAAATGTGTTAACTACCCTGAATTAGAGTTAAGGTCCAAATGTTTGGAAAATACAGAAGCACTCTTGGGAGTAATGCAAAGATGCAGAAAGTCACTCACCTTCCACATATAAATCTATAAACTGTTTGCACAGCAGTAAATGTTTATATCTCCACACAGCCTCGATGTATCAAATTGTATAAAGGGGAGCTTATAAGGCTTCCCTAGACTGTACATAACTTCAGATGAATAGATCTGAGTAATTCCTTTTTTCCTTTCATCAGGGACACTCCTGTTGCTGGTGTCCAGTCTGCTCGTGTGGGACAATGTGACCTCTGTGCCCACAAGCCCTATTTCAGATGATTGCTGCCAGGTATCCTTCAAGGACCTATTTGAGCGGGCAGTCAAGGTGTCTCAGTACATCCAAAAAGAAGCCGCAAGTGTGTTCACTGAATTTGTGAGTACCCCATCAACGTCCACCATCTTTCCAAAAGCGATATCCTTGCCAGGGTGGGAGGTACTGTAACTTAAAGGGGGAAAACCTCATTCATGGTGGTTCAGTGATATGCCTGCATAGTGAAAAGAGAGAGCACCCACTACTAAAACACGGAGCAGGAAAGCTGGACAGTTTGCAAACTGTCAAATACCTGCTAAGTGCATAAATGACTTTTAAATTTTTTTTGCTACTGTTTTAATTTACTCCTGTAATATAGAATCTTGAAAGTATGGCTAAGAAAGAGTGTTCACTCTCTGCTCTTTGTGGAGGGGCCAGTCCTTTGCCATTCTTCACTTAGGACACTGGAGACATCCAATAAAGGAGACCTGCATTGTAGTTATTTGGAGGGACTGGGCAGAATTACAGACACTGAGACCAGGTCAGGAGAAAAATATGATTAATAATTACTTTTCAGAAATCCACAACTGCAAGGATCATTTTGTAAAGGATTTTAAGGTTTGAGTTTATAATTATAACAGGGGTCTGCTTTAGGGTTGGAAACAGGCCTCGATTTGTGATGACCCTTTGAAGCCTGCATGTTACATGTTCCAGACCAATGTCAGAGGCCACCCAGACAAGGACTTCTGTGGGTGTGTGAGAATCCAGCTCCAAGTTTGAATGAATGTGTCCCCACAATATATGCATCTGAGTGGCTTTTCTCTCCTTCTCCACTCTTGACTGGCTGTTATTTCATATTTTATATTATCCGCAGCCGAATTTCCTCAACAGGAGCTTTGTAGAATAAGTATATGAAATAAATATATTGCAGTAAGTATGATAGTTAAATGATGGCATTGATTAATATATAAATATTAAATGTCTTTTCCATTTTAGTTGGCTTCTTGATTAAGATTTCCTAATACATTACGACCATCATTTTTTTTTAATTTTATTTATTATTTTTATTTTATGTGTATGAGTGTATTGCCTGCATGTATGTAAGTACACCAGTGTCATGTAACACCTGCAGAGGTCAGAAGAGGTCACTGGATCCCCTAAAACTTTAGTTATAGATAGTTAGTGGCCATGTGGTTCCAGGAGCTGAACCAGGGTCTTCTGCAAGAGCAGTCAGCGCACTTAGCTACTGAGCCATCACTCCAGCTCTGTGCCTCTCATTTTATAAAATACTTTGTTCCAAGCATCACAATTGTATTCTGAATTCACCCTGGAGCTGGACAGCAGCGTAGATTCAGAAGGTTAGGGAGGAAAGTTACATGGTGTTAGTGGAGACACTGACTTGGACCAAGGAGTACAAAACAGAGTAGCAAGTAGCAGGGCTTTGCGCACTGCGGTGTTTGTCACAAGTACTGGTTAAGAGGACAGGAGAGCACTCGGTCCTTTCTAGTTCTGCTTGATGTGGTGCTTGTTTTCCAAATAGTAACATTTAGGAAGGCTCAGAATAGTGAACAGGGCAAGAGTTTGGGAGACTGGCAAGCAAGACAAATTAATAATGAGATTACAGATCAAAGTTTTTAAAAAGTAGGTACAAGGGTCACCTTCCTAATTCCTTAATTTAATTTAATAAAATGCTTATATTTGGAAATACACATCTATAATGTAAACTAATTTTCTGTTTATTGGTTCCATTTACTCAATTCTCAAGTACAAACCAGTTGAATCTTTCATCATTTCAGAAAAACAAGTTTGGCCAGGAGTGGGAACACAACCACAGGCACCTTCAACACTGCCACACGTCTACACTTGACACTCCAGAGACCAAGAAGCAAACGGAAGACATGCACGTGAGTCCTCAGAAAAGCAAGTGAAACAGTGGCAGGCTTTGGTTAAACACACGCACGCACACACACTCACACATACACATACACACACACACACTCACACACCCATACACACACGCACACACACATGCACACACACACACGCACACACACACACACACACACGCACACACACACAAAGAGAAAACAAAGTAGCATCACATTATGTAGTTGAAAACATCCATAATTACTAATGTCTTGTTCCTAGGATGATACTTAATACTTCGTATGAAAGTTGGAACTAAGTTTGATGCCCGTGGTCAAGCATTCAGCAATCCATACACATGTGAAATGTCAATATGGTTGGATGCATCATATATACTCTGGGTCCTGCGTGGGCAGCATTTGACATTACTGAACACTCCTCCACTTCTCCACGTACAAGCCCCTCCTCATTCTGCTACAGTTTTAACAAGTATTCATGCCTCCTTAACTTCTCTGCCTCCACCTAAAAGTCACTTGAAGAAAGGGGTTATGTACAATGTTGTATGACGTTGCTCAAGATTCAATCGTCTGTTCTATGTGATGACAATGACTTGTCTAATTCTCATGCCAGATCTAACTAAAAATTGTCATAATCTCTCAACTTCTGATGTCCTACACAATTATGATTTTTATTGAACATGATAAAGTTTCCATTAAATAGGCATGTATGTAGTCAGTTCTACATGTGTGGCTTAGTGATACCAGCCTTCCGTATGCCCACAACTCTCACTTACAGCAAGAGGTCCATCTTTTAAAAGGAGATGGAGGAAGAAATGAATTTGTTGAGTTACTACTGTGCTAAAACTTCATAAAGTCCTCAAAAGTACAGGTTTGAAATCTGAATTTTATCCTCACAAAAGATCAGTGGCTACGTTTTGCAGTTCTAAAAACTGTTATCATTTACAAAACAAACAATAATAACAAAGTTTATTTCTGTTTCTTTTAGCAAAAACTGCCTGTATCTAACCCTGTTGTATTTTATTTATTTTAATGTGATTGTTCAATTACGGTTACTCAGCCTGAAATCCTAATGAAATTGGTACAAATTGTATTGCAAGCCTGGAACACTCCTCTGCAACATCTAGTGACCGAAATATCTGCCATGAAAGAAATCTCCACTTCCATCCTCTCCAAAACCAAAGAGATTGAGCAAAAGCACAAAGTGCTTCTTGAGGGAGTGGAGTGGATCTTCAGCAAGGTGAGCGATCTGCGTGTGCAGCTCTGCTTCGGGACAGGGTGACCTGTGTAATGAAAAGTACATTTTGAAACACTTCACTTTGCAAAAAAGAAATGTGAACATCCAATACATCAAAGCCTCACTACTGAGGTGATTCTGATAACCCCAACCCCAAAGGTCTTTACTCAGAACCTCACACTCCAGGGATCTCAATGGTAAACCGTTGTCCTCACAGCGACTTGGACATTACTTTCCGGTATAGAAGGCAGAGGTCTGACAACCTCGGATCTGATTATGGTCATCCCTGGACTATGTGCATCTTAAAGCATCAAGTTAAATCCTCATTGTAGCTAAGGTTTTGTGTGCATTCACTGTAAGACGAATTGATCTGGTAGAGAGCGAGGAAAGACATGGTTTAATATCAGAACCCATAAAGTAAAAAACAGTCCTTAGGACATGTGAAAATTCCTTAAGTGACAGAACTGACCCGAGAACTTCCATCATTCTTTGGTAAAATCCATGTGTGTAGTCAAGTAGTAAAGCCTGTAGGTTATCAATCAATCTGTTCGTGTGAGAACAAATTTTATCAGGGAGCACTGAATGCTCCCACTTCAAGTTTTCAGATGCCCAACATTTTAGGCCACTAGGCTGAGAAATTCCATGGTTTGGGCTGATGTTTAACTTTTCACAGTTCTTTATTCAACACTTAGAAGACATGAGGAACAGAAAAATAGCAATAGGAAGTGAACACTAACTATCACTTTGGTGATCAGTTTCAGACTGGATATACCGATAATAACCAAAGGAAGGTGCCGACCTGGTACCAGCTGGAATCCCTGAAGTCTTCCAACAAGGACACTCGGCTTTTCACTATGTATAACACGTTTTACTGCCTACGCAGGGATTCAAATAAGGTCGCCACTTACATCAATTTCCTGAACTGGCGAATCGTGCAGAGCACAACTGAGAAGCCTGCCTCCACTGGGCTCTGAGAGGGGCCCCACCGGGCTCTGAGAGGGGCCCCACCGGGCTCTGAGAGGGGCCTCCACCAGGCTCTGAGAGGGGCCCCACCGGGCTCTGAGAGGGGCCCCACCGGGCTCTGAGAGGGGCCTCCACCGGGCTCTGAGAGGGGCCTCCACCAGGTTCTGAGAGGGGCCCCACCGGGCTCTGAGAGGGGCCCCACCGGGCTCTGAGAGGGGCCCCAGAAATCCATCAGTCGAAAGTTTCATTTCAATGTTTATCTCTCAATTCCTGCTTGAATACAGTTTGTCTCCTTGAAAATAAAATTTAAAAAAATAACCATTTAGAAATGTCAATGTCTCAGAAGCCAATTCGTCAAAATATCTTTTATTGTTTTCATACCAAATCTATCAACACCATTGAAATGTTCCTTCTAAAATTGTCTACAAATAGGAGAAGCTATGAAGAACTATTGGCAGCTGATTACTGCTGGGGGAGGAAGAGCTGGTCTTCTTAAAGGCAGACTAGACCTCAGCAGATGAACTTGCACTGAGACATCTGGGGACACTAACTTGACACAATAGACCTTAACACAAATGACAGAATGCATGAATTCTGGTGGAGGTGCTATGGGAGGGTTCCAATGAGAAAGGGGATATAAAGATGATTAAAATATTCTGTATGAAATACACATTCAATAAAAAAATTTACAAAAAAAAGAAATTACACATTAAACTGACAAAAAAAAAAAAAAAAAAAAAAAAACCAGAAGGACAATGTAAGTAAATTTGTTAAAAATAAAGAGTGATGTTAGTAGTCACCAATCCAGCCTTCTTATGAAACACGGGGAAACCTGGAGATGTGGTATCAAAGCCAGCCACTCTCTACCACCAGTCAATATACTGACCAGCAGTACAAGTTCAATGCAACTGCGCTCTCTCGACATACTGTGAAGTTTTTCAGAAAGTCTGAAATGTATTAAGATACAATCATGAAATTGCTCCGAATTTCTTTAATAATGGTTTCTTACAAGGATCTTCTGAGTTCCCATCTCCTCAGCATCAGGTTAGACACATCCATGACTTCTATTCATGGTACCTGGCAAGGTTTCTCTGGTTTCTTTCAATTCCATCACATACCCATATTATTTACCACTTTCCCCTCAGCCTCTGCTGCTTGAAATCACAAAGCAGGGAAGACAGGAACGAACAGTTCCTACGGTGCATCTTCCCTTCCTTGCTCTGAAGTTCTATCCTTTGACATTCTAAGAAGTAGAGGGAGGGTCAGGAACAACGCTTAAGTTCTAACATCACTGGTTTATGGCACTTTAGCAAAGATATATTGCATGCTGGGGCTCAAAATAAATTCTGTAAGAGACAGATGCATGTTTTGGGGGTACTCTAATGATATCCTAAGATATCCATCAATGGGTACATCTCAAGGTACATCAGGAGAAATTCCATAGCTGCATTCCTCTAGCTACCCCACTGCTCTGCCCTCTGCAACCTCACAGTCCCCTTCTTTAATATTAACCCCTTTGTCTTTGCTATTTGGAAAATGCCTTAGAGTTTCTTCCACCTGACACAGAAGAATCTGGTGTATCATGACCAAACTGCAATAATCCTGGAACACAGATGATCATCTCTGCACTCTAAACCAATTTCCTGTCTTGTTTACCTCTATCCGGCACAGATCAGAGTCAAAATAGTGGGGAAATACCTGAGGAATAGCACGCCGTCCTAGCATTCACTAAACACCAGGAGTAATGTTGTTGATCAGCAATCAGCATTAAGTCAAGCAGACAAGGATTTTCTTTGTTTACTTGGAAGAGAGATGATTGGTTGAAGGTAGGTCAGCGTGTCACCTGCAGCTAAGCAATGCAAAACGGTGCTAGCTCACCATCAGCTTAAAAGAATTACCATACCCTTTACAGAGTACGTCAAGGAGTTTGCAGGAATTTCTATAAAAGGAGACACAGCCCAGTTACCGTCTTCTCTGTTTTGTTGTTGCTAGATTCATTTCTGGGCAGAGCAGAAGCTTTTCCAAAGTTCTTTGAGGCAAGTTTGAGTGTTCCCAACTCTTGTGTGTCTGAAAACACACCCCTTTTTAAGTATAAAAGATGATGATGTGACAGAACAGGTGAAAATTAAATGTTTCTCTCTAGAGTACCTTCTGGCTGACCCCTGGAAATCAAAAGAATCACATTTACAGTGGGATCTTCAGTGGGTCAGCGTGACAGAGGCTGGCATGCAAATCAAATTGGTAAAGTGCTAAAACAATCAAAAAGAGATTTCTCAAAAAGGAAAAAGCAGGAAAGAAAGTACAGAAATTATGCTGGCCTCGGAGCAGAGTTCCTAGGAAAAACTAATAGTCTCAGATGTCCTCTTCAGGGGCCTCTAGAAAGTTGTAAGTTCTGAAAAATCCAGGCATAGGAGGGAGTGTTAACAAATGGTGGCTTCTTATTAGTGCCAGATTGTTTCTGCTCTGGTGAATGTCAGCCCAAGGGAAAATAAATCCATGAAAACACAAAATGCATTGTGAAAGAAGGAACATCAGCAACCAGATCAGAGATAGAACAACGACCATGAAAACCTTCAGTGTATCCTAGGCTGGGTGATGATCCTGCCCCAGACAACACGCAATGGTCTTACTCTGCGGACAGATATTATGGTGGGGTGGATTTGCTTTTGGTTCTCCTGTTGTATACTAGAGTTGAAGAGTTTGCCTGGGTGCGTGAAGTGCAAGGGAATTTACATGTTTGAGGAAAAGTAGACAGACCCTTTGGAGAGGGAAATTTTTCACCCATCCCTGGGCCTTTTCAGCAGATAAGTCTAATCAGTAGAAAGGCAGTGGCCTCAGGGTAGCCTAGAGATAGGAAGAGACAGGGAGCATTGTCGAGAGGAAGCAGGGGTGGCTGGTAGAATAAACCCTCTGCCCTTTTAACTCCCACCTAGGCCAGGCAGTATTAAATGTTCTCCACTAGCCCAGTCCAAGGTAAGAAGGCCAGACGGCTCATTGAGAATGACAGCATAGTGCAGAGATATAAGTACTTCCACACTGAAGTTGGCAAAAAAAAAAAAAAATCAATAGAAACAAATAATGAAATATTTTCCTTTTATATTAGACCACCCTTTTTGTACCCTTTTAAATACTGAATGCCAATATGGGTCTTACTCTTTATAGTGCCTAGAGTCTTAGAACAATAGAGAAGAAAATGAAATACAGAAGATCTAAAATGGCTGACAAAACTCCACTACTCCCTACTTGTAGTTAAGATTTTCCATATTTAAAAATGCTCCTCCAGAAGATTCGTGTGGCTGGTAAACTCTTTCTGAAAGTACCACAACACAACATCCACAGAAAAATTGGCTGCTTTTCTGTATGCCAGTAATGAAATTCTCTACAATGTAATCAGAAAAAAAAAAAAACCTCCAGTCACAATAGCTTCAAAGAAAATAGCTACAAACAATACTAACCAAGTTGGTGAAATCGCACATCCAAGAAAATTTTCAAACAATGGATAAATTGGAGACACTAGAAGACGAAAAGATCTCCTGTGCCCATGAATTGCCATGATCAATATTGTGAAAATAGTTCTGTTCCCCAAATTGACCTACAAAATGTACACAATCCCACTGTAGTGTGAAAGGCATTATCCCAAAACCTAGAAAAAGCAATTCTAAATCCCTGAGTATCCAAAGCAATCCTGGCCTAAAAATCAATACTGGTTGCATCACTAATTAGCATTTTGAGTTTAAAAAAATAAGAATCTCAGTAACAGAAAACTCAGAGCTGTAGCACAGAAACAGACATACAGAGCATAGAAGACCCAGAAAGAAACTCATGCATGTAGTCACTGGTATTTCAAAACATATGCGAAAGCCCACACTGGAAGAAAGGTCTCTCAATACACTGGCATTAAACACACACACACACACACACACACACACACACACACACACAGGACAAAACTAGATCCATATCTCTCCCCCTGTAAAAACTAATCAAGAGACAATGGATCAAAAGCCTGAGTGTAAGACATGACACTCCGAAGCAGCTAAGGAAAAGCATTTCAGCTGCGCACATAGGAAATGATATCCTCAAATGGATGTCAACAGCTCACCGTGTTAGTCCCTAAAGAACCAATGGGGTTACACAGAATTAAAAAGCACATCAAAGAGGAAAGAGAAAGCTTACTAGACAGGAAAAAATGCTTACCGTGGTACATCTGGCAGAGATTAGCATCCAAAAAGTGTACAGAATTCTAAAATTAGACAGCAAAATATCACCCAGTCAATAATTGTGTAAAAGCTGGGATTGGACCCCTGATTGTCTCCCTTAGCAGCCTGCATAGTGTCTCCAGAACTATGAGAACTAGTCTTCAAGGAGGAGGCTCCCAGGTCAGCTCTAGCTTTGTTGCCCCAAGTCCTGCATCTTATGTCCTGTCTTCATTAATAGAGTCCTACCTTCAGGTCCTGGGAGGTAATTAAGGGCTTTGGTAGTAGCCTGTGTTATGGAAGTCTCTTGGACCACCCTGACCAACAATTCGAAGGGAGGTTTCTTCTGTCTGTCACGGTGTTTCTTACTCTAAAGCCTTCAGCTACACGTACGCACTCACGTTTGGATATTCTATGTATATTTTTCAATAGGTTTTTAGGATGATCCATTTCCCTCGGGTTTTTCACAGCAGCTAAGCATGATAATGTATCTCTCCTCTCTCTCCCCCTGTCGAACCTCTCTTCTCCCTCCCCAGTTAAAGTACCCTCCTTTCCCCATTCCACCTTGATAATACCTGTCACCTATTACCCCACACACACACAGACACCCCTGCCCAGCAATAAAACCTGGTGACCACAATAAGGACAAGCTCATCAAACTATAGCAATGCAGTACTGGCACTTTTATCTCAGGGGTAATCAACAGTTATCTAATTGGACTTAAAGCCCGTTCAATGGGAATGAACTATGTGGCACAGTAAACATAGTCAGATACACATGGCTAGAGAGGTCACAGACCCTAGAGAAA